AKYYTTYCTGTCRGTTCCACTCAGCCTTCCAGTACWGGAAGGCTGCAATTAGGTCATCCCAAAGCCTTCTCTTTCCCAKGCTCAACAATCCCAATTCTCCCAGCCTTTCCTTATGGCAGAGGTGCTCCATCCCTCTGATACCTTGATGTCCCACGCTGCACTCACTCCAGCAGATCCACATCCTCCCTGCTGGGAACACCAGAGCTGGACGCAGCACTGCAGGTGGGGTCTCACCAGAGACCAGGACCTGGTTTGGGCCCTTTCCTGAATGCCCCAACAGCAAATGGCAATGCCAGGGATTGTGTGAGTGACCCTGGAACGGCCCCGTGCTCTCTCCATCCTCTCCTGGCCTTGCTGCTTGGGAGCTTCTGCTGCATTAGAGGCAACAGGCGGGGCATGGCTCTGCCCTTCCAGGCTTCTTACCAGGGAAACCACGTTCCTGCTGGGCCCCAAGAGCTGATCATATTCAGTCTTATCACCTCTATCTGCAGAGCTGCTGCTGTGCTCTTCCCTTCTGCCTTCACAGTACAACCAGCCATTWCTGACTCCATAAAATCCTTATTATAGCTGGCTGATGAAGCTCTCCCTCATCGCCTCCTCTCCACAGAGACCTTGGTTGGAAACAGGGATTATTACATTTTTCATGCCAATTTCATTAAAAAGAAAAAATCTGAAAGGAAAACTAATTGTGCTTTGTGATGCTTAGGGAAATTAAGTCTTCAAGGAAATGTAATCTTCAGCTCTTTATTCAACTGCAAATGCGTTAATTTATTTAATTGTATCATCGATCAACACAGTACATATAATTATTACCCCTATATAATAGATTGGAAAAAATTTACTGTCATTGCCTGTGTAATCAGATATACTCTTGTAACTAATTTCTAAACAGCATCAATGGAAAAAAATGACCTTCGAGTCTTAATTTCATGCCCTACTTCCTGAAAAATTAACCGGGAAGTGAGCACACACAAAACCAGCACAGATGCAGAGTGCCAGGCTGGTAACATCTGCTTTATTTGCTGCCCCTCTGCCATTCATAGGGCTGATATCATTTCCCTGTTCTTTGATATTACATTTCAAACAAAATCTTGAGCAGATCTCATCAAAACAGTCCTCCGGGCATTCCATTTCCATTCCTCCTGTCTTGCAGGTACAAATTATTATTTCATTTTACATGTGCAGGGACATTGAAAGCCCTGAACAGGCACTGGAAGAAAAACTATGAAATGGAATATTTAATGAAAGGAGACAGCTGAGCTCTCAGAGAAATCAAAAGCTGCTGATCTTGAGGATTCAYTGAAGGAATTTTTATTAATCTTATTACCCTAAAGAATTGCTTTTTATATATGTTTTTCAAACAGCATCAAATCCTCATSAAAACAGACACTGCAGTGCAAGCACCATGCTCTGTGCTATTGACAGAAGCAATATTTTTGTATTTGTGTATTTGTGTATGATTTTAAACAAGGCAGGTGGCAGGCACCACCATTATTGGCACTCTCATGTTTATTATCAGTGTTTATTATTTATTAGAACCACAAATCCAGCATGGCAACAAGCACCTCCAGTTCCTGTTATAGCAAGGAGTCTTCTCAATGCCTAGCAGTTGGTGTGATTTCAGTTATCCAAGTCTTGGGCATGTGGATGTRTACATATAAACATGGCACATATATATATTAAAAATAYGTGTATTTGGGAGCAGARCAGTTTGTAACCTGTGAAAAGCTATGGATGCTCACACAGAAGCAAGTTCTCCTAGGATTTCATTAATTTCAACATGTTTAATGCAATCTGGTTTTTGCCGTGAATTCTCAGTTTGTGTTAATCTGATGGCAGGACATGGCAGGACCTTTGTTCTTTGAGGAACAAAGAAAACAGGTCCAGACATTCAATGCAAAATGACAAGTGTTAGCTTGTCATTGGTTCCAGCCAGTATATATGAATATTGTTGTGAGCCCCTTCCAGCTGCTAAATGAAATGCACAGCTCAGGGCAGCTGCCAGGGATCTCCTGCAGGTGAGAGCTGAGCTCTGTTCCCACAGCTGGGCACCCGCAAATCACCTGTGACACACATGGACATCCCTGTACACACAGAGAAAGATGAGCTACAGCTCCTCCCTGCATCAAACACTCCCCTTCTAACAGGACTGGTTACATACAGGAGGAGCACAGCATGAAGCAAGTCTTGATGAAAAAAAAGCAAAGCATGTAGACATTTATTTTTTTTACCAAATGGACACAGCATTGTTCCTCAAGAGACAGATTCCAACAAAAATCTAATTTCAGAAAATGGGAACATTCCTTTATGACAATACCCCACACTGACAGACAAAATTAAACTACAAATCCCAGGCAAAGTATGTTTTATCTGCCCAGGTTCTGCACTGGCTAGAAGTTGCATGATCAGCGAGTGGAACATCACATCCATGCAAATAAATCCTCCCAAGGTAGTATACTACCCATGTTCACACAACTTCCAGCTGGTTCAGAACACAGGTAGAGGTTATTCCTTCCCACTTCCAAAAGATACTGGTTATGCACACTCTGTATCATACTGTTTTTTATACACAGGACATGAGTACTGAAAAAAAAGCCAAAAATTTGTTTTTCCTCCACCAAATGCTACACCCRAAAATGTATGTACAAAAAATGTGTTACAGTTCAACCACAGCAAGTGGAAAACAATCACACTACAGGTATCAAAATGAAAACCCTTATCTACTGTCTCATTTTGGTCAGGTGTTCTCCAATTCAAAGTCCAAAGTCCAAACCTGGGACAAACAGAAGACCCCAAACACCTTTAGCTCAGCCCTGTGGCAGCGCACTGAGAGCAGGGTTGTTTCCCTGCAGCTGATGGCACCATCACTGGGAACAAGGTACTTGCACTGCAGTCACCACAGCTGGATCCTTTCAAAAGGCTGTTCATCTTCCACAGTTTGTGAAAGAAACTTTGTTATAAACATRGGCTTGGGCTTGCTTTGTTCAGTCAAACACACAATCTGCACRGTCCCTTTCTGAAAGCTCCTCCTGGGCACAGCTCAATGCAGTCCTTACCAGTCACACTTAGCACAGAGAAGCCATGTTGCCTTGGAGGATTTAATCTTAAAGCAGATYTCCCTGTGTTCTATATTTATTTAATTCTAATCTGAAGATATAAAGACTCATACTGCAGCTTATCAAATTTATAAGAGAAAAAATTACACTTTGTTAAGAATTCCTGTGTTTAGGCCAAGAACTTGATGGCAGGGCTTGAAAAGTTTTCAAAAAAAGATCAGTTTATTTTGGTGGGTCTGTGTTAATTCCATATTTTTCCTTGAGAAGCTTAAGCTGTTCTTCTTTCTTCTTTGTGTCCATCTTTTGGAATGCCTATAATTAGAAAAATTAAAAAAAAAAAAAAAAGTTAGAAGACAACAGAAGTGTCTCATCTTATGATAAGTCATTTCCCTGGCAACCAACAACACTGTGAACTCCATCACCATCATACACACACAGCATTGTTTAATTCCCACCCTGGAGAATGTTGCAGGGCCCTGGACACAGTGACAGGGAGGACATTGAGAACTGGAGACCTTTTTACCCACAAAGAAGATCTCACCTCCTGCTGCAGCAGCGCAATTGTGGAGCCTCTGCACCCTGTTCTCCAGAGTACGCTCCCCACAAACACCTTTGTCACAGCCTTTGTCCAAAGGTACTTTTTTTGTACACAAATCACCAAGTACAGATGAAACCCTGACCAYGTATCCCATCCACTCCCTCTAACAGTTTGGATTTCTTAAAATACCCAAGTAACTGTCTTTACAAACTGTTGTTGGGGCTGTTATTTTGTGACAGCTCTGTTCAGAGGTCACTTCCCCTGCCCTGGAGCACGTACCCTGTTTGCGTTGTAGTACAGAACCACGAGGTATCTGTTGCACACGTTGAACCCTGACAGGTGGTCACAGGCRTTCTTGGCATCAAAGATGTCCTCATAGACCACGTAGGCTGTGCCTCTTGTCTCGGGGGTATTTCCACTGCACAACAAGGTCAGATTCAAGGTTACATAAAATGAACAAAAAATAGTTTTATTAGTCAAATAGTTTATTTATTCCATAGTGACTATGGATGAACTAAGTGAACTATGATGAACTAATGCAACTTCACTAAAAACCAATTTGTTATTTTTTCTAGATATTAAGCTACATCCCCTGCTTTCCACATAGTTCAGAGCCAGAGATAACAGGAAAATGTGCTGTATTTTGCTCCATAATGGAAATGCACCTCTCCACAACTATCAAAAGCTTTTGTCAAGGCTGTCATGTGTCTGAAAATAATGTCTTTATTATAGCAATTAGTTTTTATTTAATATTACAAGACCTGGCTGTCAGTTAGTGACTGTCTGGATTAGATGTGTCCCTGGGATGGAACAGGGCTCCTGGCATATCACAAAGTCAATTTAAGAGAGAATTAACACACACAGCAGCCTGCTGCAGATGCAAGCCCACTGCAGAGGTACAGCCATCACTCACTGAAGCACCAATTCCATGGCCTTTGCCTGAGGGATGGGACAGATGTCTGGGCACATAACACTAATGAGCTCACAGGGACTGCAGAGTTTACAGATCCCAAAGGTCTTGACTAAAGGAACCAACAGAGACTCAGTAATCAGCACAATTCTCTCTAAGGTGCTTCCAAGAACTCCCAAGGACAAATGGTACCACAAATATCCACACCTGGATGTTTGCAAAAGTGAAGGGAATGGGATAAGAACTGCACAGAGCACAAAAGCCATTACAAAGGGGCTTGCACTTATGCTTTGTCACTGGTGATGTTGGGATTTTTGTGGGAAATTACATCATTAGCAGCTCTGAACAAACTGCTGTATGCACATACCAGTCAATCACTCCAATGGAAAGCTTTCAATACATCCTAATTCTTCGTGTCCCACTGTCACAWCCCATGTTTTCAGAAAACTTAAGTGCTAGCTATCCTTTATGCTCATTAGCAAAGAATTGCACATATTAAACCAGGCAGTGTTTACACTGCCCCCTGTTCCCTCAGCCACTTCTCCAGTCACATCCACTGCCCTTCCCTGCATGWGAAGGGTCTCTCAAGCTGCACATCCCAGCACAGCACCAGCAGCTCGTGTCCTCTTCATTTCCTTCTTTACTTACTGAGGGCAACTCTGTAAAACTGGCTTTACTCTACACATGAGCAATCAAACAGGTCACCCAGAGAAGCTGTAGATGCTCCATYCCTGGAGTGGAAGTGTTCAGCACCAGGTTGGATGGGGCTCAGAGCAATCTGGGATCGTGGAAGGTGTCCCTACACATGGCAGGGGRTTGGARTGAGAAGATCTTTAAGGTSCCTTCCAGCACAAACCCTCCAGCATTTGAACTAACCAGGAGAAGAACCTCAGAGCTGCTGCAGACATGTACAATCTCCATGCATTTTAGAACCAAAGGCACAGTCACATCTCCACTATCCAGATCACGTATGGCTGGAGGACATCCTGTCTGTGGCACAAAGGGGTTGCTGCTGGTATTTGTTTCTAGTTCACASGTCCAACAAAAGCAACATCCCTGTTTTCCCACTGCTTAAGTATCATTAAACTCATTAAACAGGCAAACTGTGTTCAGCTTTTATCTTTCCTATTTTCACCCCAAGTCAAAGTAAAACCTCAGTTGTATTCAAAACTTCCTTAAGYAAACRAGTCTCTCATATTTCATCAATTTCTCCAAGTTCACATCAAAATTAAGCTTCTTCCCACCACCTCCAAGCACRATAATTTTCTAACAAATCCTCACGTTAAATGTATCGTCACATTCCCCTCTGGGCCACTGCTCCAGAGCATTGAACCTTTCCAGCTGTAAAACCCAACCTTCACCACTGTGGCAAGAACAGTGGCACTGGAACACGCAAAACCCTTCACAATCCATAGAAATTGGAAATACTCACACTCTGATCTGCCGGATCGGCCCGTACTTCCCGAAAATGTCGTACATCTCCTCGGCCGTGATTTTGTACGGCAGATTCCTGATGTACAGGATCCGGTTGACCTCCGGAGGGAGCCGGATCTGAGGGGGGAAGAACACGCACTGTGTTAGACCAGAACACGTACTGCAAACCTTTAAACCCTAAAGGTTTAAGGGCTACATCATTAAATCCCTGAAACACGGAATGACTGGAGCTAGAAGGGCTTTAAACATCACCCAGCTCCACCCCCATGTCGCGTTCCCGTCAGAGCAGCGGGGTGCCTGGGGAGGGACGAAACCGGAGCGCAGCCCGGCAGGGACGGGACAGGGCAGCACACTCACGTTGGCTCGTTTGGCTGCTTGCATCGCCATGGCGGCGGGCRGTGGGTGGGGGCCGCGGCCTGAGACAGAAACAGCGGCGAGAAAGGAGCCGGGAGCGGAGAGAGCGGCGGGACCGGAGCGCTGGGCGGGAAACGCGGATGTATCCCGGCGTGCACCGCGCGCGCCCCTCACGGAACCGGATCCATCCCGGCGTGCACTGCGCGGGAAGCGGCAACCGCCACTGCCCTGTCCACGTGACCCGAGCCCGGCTGCACCCATTGGCCACGCCCCCGCTTTAGCCCCGCCCCTCCCTGCACAGGCCGCGCCCCCTCCCTGCACACAGGCCACGCCCCCTCCCTCTCCAGGCCCCGCCCCTTCAACCCCTCAGCACCGGCCCCGTCCGGGCCCACACAGGTTGGGCTGGAATTGCAAAGCGAACGTCTTTATTAAACGCTTCTTTAMTAAACACCTCTTTATCCTCTACCCCTCCTCGCCCCCCACACGAGTCGGTGCCGCGCTTGCAGCAGAAGCGGCGGGATGGCTGCAGTGCAACCCCTGCAGTGACAGTCCCAGAGCAGCTACTGCAGCGGCCCTTTCTTGGAGCAAACGGGTATTTCGATGACGATTTTGCCGATGTTCCTGTTCTCCTCCATAGCGCTGTGTGCCTCAGCGATGGCGTGCAGGGGRTAAACGCTGTCCACGAGGGGCTGGAGACGCGGGGAAGTCTCTCCGGAAAAATGGGGCAGTGCCTCCTCCGTGAAGGCTCTCACCAGCCGCTCCTTGTACTGGGGAAAAAAGACACCCTCAAGGTTATTTCCAGTTGATTCATTCACCGAGGTGTCTCTGAGCACGGCGTATTAAATGTACATAGTCCTCAAGGAAACACCTTCTGACATTCTCACAGTGAAATTGTGATACAAACACCTGACAGGTCTAAATTACATATGAGAAGAAAGCTTTTTGACTTATTGCATCTTCATTGAATGAAATTCTCTAAAGCAGGTGGTGTAAGCTCAGTGCAGAACCATTTAAACCAAACGGGTAGAGTTCTTGAGAATATTCTGTCTCAAGCCATGTACAGAATTTACACTAGGGCTCTGCACTCCCTGTCTTTCACTGTCATATCTGAGAATTTGCCACATAAAGTGAGTTTTCCTTGGTAACTGGGCATCCCAAATGGCCTTGATTTCTACTTTGAAAAGTGACCTAATAGAGATTTTTATTTCCACTCCCCCAGACTTGATCAAGTTACCTGATGACTGGAGTTTTATTTCTTCTTAGGCCAAATGTCTAAATTATGGTACTCATGAAGCACATTAAGAAATCATAGAAATCCTGAGTGTCATTCCTCTCATTCAGGGARGAATTTGATTWAAAAAAAAARRRRAARRGSAYWWTA